TGCCTCCCTGTGAGGGCCCCCTCATGGGCTGGGAGGTGAAAGGGGGTGATTAGCTGCCTTGTGCCTGTTATTACATTGATGTATTATTTAGCTCCAGAGAGGCAATGAATATTTGATCTTGCACTGGCTGTGGGCAGTGAGGAGGGAGGGACTAGGGTGAAGGTGGTTGCTTCATTCCCACCCCAGTAGCACTCGGCGTTTAGGTGCTGGCCTGCCTGGGATGCAAGCCCAGGACTCTGGGACTTCTTCTAATGTAGGCCTTGGTGGGGCTGGAGGGGTACCACTTCCCCGCCTTTGCCACATGTGTCCATGTGTCCCCAGGGGCTGTCCATCTCACATGCTGGGCCCTGGTGTGACAATCACACCCCCACCTAGGAGCTGGGGGAGTAGGGAGATGCTGGCTGGCAAGCAGGCAGGCTCTTACACCCAGGCCACAAGAGAGCCATGGGGTGGGCAGGCGGGTAGAACAGGCAAGTTCTGCCTCTCTTTCTTCTTTCTGGCCTGCTGCCCTGATTGTCATTTGTGGAATGAATGAGGGGCTGGAGTCCTGCGCCAGGACCAGAGGGAACCACCCATAATTCAGGGCACAGTCCTTGTTCACTCTTGAATGCCTCCATCCTGGGGCCTCATAAGAAGAGGGCCCTGAGCCAGTAGCCTGGCACTTCCGAGATCACCTTACCTCTGCCAGTAGGCCCAAGGAGCATCTTCTCAGGACTGAGGGGGAAGACCCCAAGACTTCCCACCTCCACCTTCTCCCCAGCTGGGGCTCAATGAGAGTTCCAGGCTAAGTCCAAATGCTAAGCAGTCCCCAGCTGTGCCTGGCTCTGGGCTCTTATCACCATGGACACAGGATCTGGAGAAGCTGGCCCACACCTCACCTGTGATGTTCAGCAGCCATCCCCCTCTGGCTCACATAGGAAGGGGGACATGTCTGCCTTCTCTCAGTCTGGATTCCTGCACACGGTGGGCCTGAGCTCTTTGCCTGATCTTGCCACTCCCACCTGCTGTCAGTGGCTCTGCTCTGGGAAATGGATTGAGGAGTTTGCTCCTGAGCAGGGCAGATGAAGGGGCTGTGTGTGTGGAGGACATATTGGGGGTTGGAGGAGCAGGCCGGAAGGGGTAAGGACCATCAGCCCAGCTCTGCCCCATCTCAGGGTGCTCCACCGCCAGCAGAGTGCTCTCATGGTCCCCTTTGCTGCTTCATGGCTCAGGAACCACTAGTGGTTGGGGCAAAGACCCCTCTGGGTTACCCAGGCATAGGGGAAGAAAGCCCTTAAGATGCTTGATCCCAGCACCCTCCTTCCATGTGCCTGGCTGAGGGTGTCTCACGGCTTCTCCATCCTACTGCTGCCCCAGGCTCAACTCAGGGCTCAGTGTGGGCCAGAGGCAGGGACCAGGGGCCAGCTGACTTCCTGGATATGGCTGCTCTGTGGGGAGCCTTGCATGGGGGCAGGAGGGTGGCCTCCTGGTCCTTCTGTCCTCTTGCTTTATGGGCAGTGTCTGTAGCTGGCCGTGGACAAACCCCTCTGCAGGCCTGCAGTGGGGGTGGAGGAGGGGACACTGCTTGCATCTCTTTGTTCTACCCTCAGCATCTCACCTCAGGGCTGAGTGGCCCTTAATGGACTGTTAAGGGGTGCAGGATTGCTTTATGGGAATGCAGGGAGCTGAGGCTGTCAGGCAGGGAGAGGAGTGTATAGCAGTCCTTCTTCCTCCTTCCCTGTTCCCTCCCTCTGCCCTGTCAGCAGCCCCAGTAGTGGCAGAGGGCAGAGGGCAGAGGGCAGCTGGAATGAGCCTCTTGAGCCGGAAGCTTTATTATTCATGAGCATGCTGTGTATGCTGAGTTATTTGCTGGGGGTAGAGCCTCTGTCCTCTCCCTGGGGAATGATGGGGCTCCAAGCTAACCTGTGCTCTGTCTTCCTGGCCCAGGAGCTGACTCGATGAGTGACACAAGTTCTGTAAGCCTGGAGGTGGGTCCTGGCAGCCGGGAGACATCAGCTGCCACACTGTCCCCTGGGGTGAGCAGCCGTGGCTGGGACGACGGTGACACCCGCAGTGAGCACAGCTACAGCGAGTCAGGTGCTAGCGGCTCATCTTTTGAGGAGCTGGACCTGGAGGGTGACGGACCACTGGGGGAGCCACAGCTGAGCCCTGAAGCTGAGCCTCTGGGGGCTGCCAAGTGGCCCCGGGAACCCAGTACCCCTGAGAGGGACGAGGAGTAGCTGGGGCCACGCGCAGTTGCCAAGGACTCTCCAGCCCTCTTCTGCCTTCACCTCAGGCCAGCTGGGGCCAGGGGTCTCGAGGCCTGACCTCTACCGCCTGCCCAGGGCCTCTGCCTATGCCTTCTCACTGCCCTCACGGCTCCCAAGGCCAGAGGAGCCAGGGACTGTTTTCTGCACCCAGACCCCTGGGCTGCTGCCCTGTTACATCTCTTTTCAGGTTCACTTTGGAGATTCCAGGGCCCAGAATAAAGCAAATGATTTTCTTGTTTCACCTGGATTTGAGCTGTGCGTTTGTTTGTCCCATCTTGGGGAACCCTGCAATAGGCAGGAGTGGGCAGGAGCACCCCAGTCTGAGGAAAGGAGTGCAGCCAGGTACCGTGGGGTGGGGAAAGGAAGGGGATGTTGGCGGCCCTCCACTCCCTGCTCTGTGGCCCCAGCCAACAGTAGCCCCTCCAGTGCAGCATCCCCAGAGGGTCCCCAGGCTGCTGTGGGACCAGTGGAGCAGGGCATGCTCCCTGGGGCTCAGGAGAGGGGTTCACAGACCGCCTTTGTCTGCTTCCAGGGAGCCTTTGTGTCTGGTGGTGCCTGTGCTCAGGCTGCTGTCTGCTGGCCCGCTGGCAAGGCCATCCCTGCGGGGCCTGCAGGCACCTGCCTCTGGGTCTGCAGCGGGTTGTCCTGGGGTGGGGGTGGCTGTATTTGTGTGGATTGCTTGGTGGCTTTGTGCATGTGTTGCTGTGCTTTGTGTGTTTAACTGAACTAGCCCTCCAGGGGTGTGAGGCTGGCTGGCTGGGGGCATCCCTCTGGGAGCTTTGTCCACGTACTGCTATCTGTATGTGGCTATGTGTCTGTACAGCTGTGTGTGGTTGTGTGTTTACATGTAAAGCTCTGCATCTACACATAAAGCTGTATGTCTGCAGCTGTGTATACGAGTACAGCTGTATATGTGGACATGTCCACGTCTTCGGCTGTATGTATGTGACTGTGTCCGTATGTAGAGCTGTCTTACAGCTCTGCATGTGTTGCTGCTTGTGTGGTTGTATTTACATGTACTGCTAAGTGGGGGGCCCTGTCCGCCCATATAGTTCTGTGCATAGGGCTGGGCATATGCCTTGCGTGCACAACTGGGAGCTGCGGCTGCGTTGCTGGGCATCACTGTATGTGCTGTGCTGCGGCAGGACTGTTAAGCCCTCTTGCTGTGGGCTATGCAATGGGCTTCTCGGGCTGGCACTATGTTTATGGTGCTGTGTCTTGTGAGGCTGCCTTGGGTAGGCTGGGTTGCTGTGTGGCTCTGCTCACCTCAGCACCCTGCTGCAGTCAACATCTCTGCTCTGGGGTCCAGCCCATCGCTCATCTGCCCCAAGGAGCAGTTACTCAACTACCAGAGAGGGTGAGAGCAGCCAGACCTGGAAGACAGTGCGTCTGTCTCTCCAGCTTTGTCTGATAGCACTGCCACTTCACCCCCTATTAGTGATGGAGTTTGTGTGTGGGGGGGGTTTGATGTGTTTATCTGTTTTACAGCTGTGCTCTTTCCAGTGTGGTGGGGCCTCTGGTCTCTGTCCCAGGGAAAAAGCCTGTCCTTCCTTGGTGACTACCCTCCCCCTCCCTCCTACAACTGCCACAGGCACATGTAGGTGTGTGTGTCAGAGGGGCCTGAGCCTGGCATGTGCCCACCAGCCTGTGTCTGAGATAGCCTTGCCTTTACTGACACCTGTGGAAGAAAGGGCAGTGCCAGGGAATGTGGGATGCCACGCCCCTTGGCCCTTGGCAGTATAAGTGCATGCTGCGGGCAGACAGTGCAGGCCCCCTCCCCAGATCCTCTGGCACAGTCTGGCACTACAGCTTTTATTCACTGCCCCAACCCAGGGGCGTCCTTCCCCATTCTGCTGCAGGAGGGAAGAGACAAGAGCAGCTTCTCAGAGCTGTCCTCCCTCTGCTCGGGCTCCAGCTCCTGTTCCCTCCTACGCAGCAGTGTTTCAGGAGCCTCTTCCCCAGCCTCCTCCCTCCCAGACCCCTCTGCCAGCCCCAGCATGTCCCTCAAGGTTGACCTTGTCCCTGCAGTCCCCACCCCAGGGTGACATCTTTTTGCCATAAATACCCGTTGCACATGAGAGTGGGGATTAGTGGAAAGGGGTGGGAGGTCAGGGCTGGATGTGTAGGGGGAAGGTAGCAGTTTTAAAGGTCATCTACAGGAAGGAAAAGGAGGCCCCGTCTTCCTCTGACCCCCGCCCCTTCCTCCTAGTGACTCAGGCCCCAGCTCTCACATGGGGCTGAAGACATGCCCCTGGCCCTGGCCTGGCAGGTGGACGGAGTTGCAGCTCCTGGGTGGGGAGCATGAATGCGAGGACTGGGATGGATGCTGCAACCAGCTAAGTAAGCCCTCTGCCTCTCTCTCAGGTGTCCCCTTTCCTACCCCCCACTGGTACCCTGCGACCCCAGGGCCAGCCCCTCCACTCCCACGGACAGGAACCCATCATACTGTGTGCACCTCCTGGGCTCAGTGACCTTCCCAGCCTGTAGATCGTGCCCCATGCTCGCTGCTCTCTGGGACGCAAGTCTGACCTCGGGGCTAAGCGGGCCGAGCGGCACCTGCTCCAGCGAAGAGCGGAGCACGGGATTCAGCACCACACGGCGGACAGCTCTGGGCGGCGAGGACCGGGATTCGGAGGTGCGGGCCAGAGCCCGCGTCGCTAGGGGAGGCCGGAGGGCAGCGGAGATCCGGAGTGGGCAGGGACGGAGGAGGGGCCGGGGGCGGGGCAGGCGGCGATTGAAAGCGGCGGGGCGGCTGGCGGAGCGCAGAGCTGCGAGCCAGCCCGCGAGCGAGCGCAGCTGGACCCCGCGCCGGCGCCGCGCTCTCTCCGCGCCAGGTAGGCTAAGTCCGTGGTGCCGCGGCAGCCAGCCTTACCACTCCTGACCCCGCGTCCCGGAGTCCTGCGGGCCCCGAGTTCTGGGGCGTCTGGGACGGGACAGGGCTTTCAGACTGCGCTCGCCAGGAGCTCCGGGGTGCGGGAAGAGTGCTGGCCGTCCCGCCTTCTTTTCCCAGAGAACGTTCGCCCTGCACCGTGCTCTTCCCTCCTCCCGCCCTCCGTCCTTCGGTCCGTCTTTCTGTCTGTGCCTCTCTTTGTCTCAGCTTCTCGGTCGGCTGATCTCTCCCTGCCCGGATTTTGTGGCCCAGGCCCCAGGGTTGCCTGCCTCCGGGGTTCTGTCTCCCTTCCGGGTTCTGACCCCCAGCCCAGCTTTGCTTCCACCGACCCTGCTGGAGACGCATGGTCTTTACCTGTCTGGGCCTCGGCCCCCATCTGGGTCTCTGTCCCCATCTGTGTTGGTCTCCGTGCTTGCCTGCCTCTCCTTTTTGCCTGGCTGAGCTGCTTCTTTCAGGGTACCCACAGGATGCCAGTCCCCCTGCCCTAGCACCAGCCAGCGGTTAACCCTGGGGAGCCGAGGGGCGGAGTGAAGAGTCCAGTCTATGGCCAGGGCACAGGGTCCTTATAAATGAGTCTCCACCCTTCAGCCTCAGCTTCCCTTCCCTAGCCTCCCCAAGCCTGCGTGATTGTGAGAGCCTGTGAGGTGGGTGTCTGGGAGGGCAGCTGGGGCACAAATAATGGGGTGCAGAGAGGGCATGGGGGAGCGGGCTTGGAAGGCCAGGCCAGGTGGACAGGGCCCTGAGGCAGAGGATGGGGAGATCGGTGATCGTGGCTTTCTCTGCTCGGTTTTGAGCTGAAAACAGAGGCCGAGTCACAAACAGCATGCTACGTAGACTAGCTAAGGTGTCCTAAAGCCTCACTTGGATCCTGTGTTGAGATTGAGACCAGGTGGCTGCCACCCCTCCCTGGACACACACATATGCTCGCAGCTACTTTCCTTGTTGGACTAAGACAGACCCGTGCCACTTTGGTGTCCCTCCTTGGGGCCTCCTGCTCTGCTTCCCTGATAACTTCCAGGGCCTGGAGCCTCTGTTACTTCCTCAGTCAGGGGCTGTGCGGATGGCTTTTCAGAACCAGAGGCTAAGGCCCTTGGGCACCCATCCGGGCTCCAGTCTCCCTAGGGGTTGGAGACTAGTCTTTATAGGCTATTCTTTCCCTCTTCCCTCACGGGTCTTGGAAATCCAAGACACAGGCTGGGTACTGGACCCCAGGTTTGTAACTGACCTGGCTGGAAAGGTGTTAACTTGTGGTCGTGGGAGCTTTGTGCAAGGTCTGGATGCTCTTCAACTCGCAGCAGAATTGGTGTTGGCTGGCGTCTGCTGTCTTCTGCCTGGACCCCTACTATCTGCCTCCGCTGTCTGCTGAGTTTGGAACGGGCACAATACAGGGCCCGTCTCCAGACCCAGATCAGGGCAGGGCCGAGAGACAGGATAAGGTGTGTCCCAGGAGCTGCTCAGCCTACTTGGTGATGCCCCCTTGCTGGGCTCCTGAGTCCCTGGGAAAGGGGTTTGGGGGAGGCAGAGTCAGACAGGTAGCACACTAAGAGTCCATTTCTCCCTGTCTGTCTGTCTCTGCAGGAGCTGAGCCTTCCTCGTCTCTCTGGCTGTCTGTTCTATCCTGGTTCCTATTTTCTCCTCTCTGCTTTTGCAGCTTCTGCCCTTGTCCCCTGGAGACCCAGGTCTGCTGAGCCCGTCCCACCCCTCTGGGGCCATGGGGTCCCTGCTTGGGCTCCTAGCACTGTTACTGTTGTGGGGTGCTGTAGCTGAGGGCCCAGCAAAGAAAGTGCTGACCCTGGAGGGGGACCTGGTGCTGGGTGGGCTGTTCCCAGTACACCAGAAGGGCAGCCTGGCAGAGGAGTGCGGTCCCATCAATGAGCATCGTGGCATCCAGCGCCTGGAGGCCATGCTTTTTGCACTGGACCGCATCAACCGTGACCCACGCCTGCTGCCGGGCGTGCGCCTGGGTGCACACATACTCGATAGCTGCTCCAAGGACACACACGCCCTGGAGCAGGCACTCGACTTCGTGCGTGCCTCGCTCAGCCGAGGTGCTGATGGCTCCCGCCACATCTGCCCCGATGGCTCTTATGCCAGCCACAGTGATGCTCCTGCTACCATCACAGGTGTCATCGGTGGCTCCTATAGTGACGTCTCCATCCAGGTATGTGGGGGCTGCCCAGATGGGAGCTGGGGAGGGAGGCTAGAGGTGGGGGCCCAGAGTTCTTGTTGAGCAGGGGCTTTGGGCTGCTGCTCTTGTCCCTTTGGAAGAAGGACTACATGTTTTCTTTGAGTAGTTTTTACAGAAGACTAATAATGGGGGCCCATTTTTAGAGATTGGGCCATGAAAACATCCCCTTCCAACACACACATGCATATGCCCACGCACACGCACCTGCACCTACACACACCTGATGTTAAACAGCCCTGAGATGCTTAGTAGCCAAGCCTCTTGCGTCAGAACTCTAGGTTTGAATCCTGGCTCTCTCACTTACTGTGTGACTCTGGGCATTGTTTCTCTCTTCTGTGCCTCAGTTTCCTCCCTATAAAATGGAACATATAACACTTGGCACTCTTAAGGTTATGGCCAGGGCCTGGCAAGTTGTAAGGGCATAATCAACCTTAGCTGGTATGATTATTAACCCATTTTATAGATGAGGAAACAGAGACTTGGAGAGGGACAGGCCACAAGTCAAGGTGTCCACAAGGTAGAGATATGAACCTAGGCCTCTCAGCCAAGGGCTTCTAAGCCTGTCAGATAATCTCTCTATGCATTGGAAAGGGGTGAAAGATAGCAGCCCAGAAAAGAAAAATGGGTGGGGGACCCAGGAGGAAGAGAAGTATACTGTGTAGAAGTGGGGGAAGTGTCCCTTAGGGTACAGGACTTGGAGGGGTGGGCAGGTGAGGGACCCGAAAGGGGTCAGCAGGTGTCCCTGGGCACCCTGCTGCTTTAGCCCAGGTGGGGTCCTCTCTCCCTAACTGTGTCCTCCTCCCACCTGCTGCTATCTTCAGGGGTCTTGAGGTGCCTTCCCAGCACCCCTGCACAGTTGGCACTGGAATGAGGCACTTGCCTGTAGGACCAGCTCCCTTCCCTCCTGTCCCCTCTCTCCCCAGGCTGCCTGCCTGCTGGGCCAGGGCCACACCTCAGCATTGGCTGCTTGTACCATCTGATCAAAGCAACGCCCAGCCCTCTGACCCTAGGCTGCACCTGTCTGTTCCTGACCCCTCCCCATGGCACCTCTCTCTCTTGCCGAGTCCTGGTCATCTTTCATATTTCAGATGCTGTGACCTCACATGCATTGTCATGTTTATGTGTGCAGCAGCCTTGTTAGCAGGAATGAGAAACTGAGGCTCAGGGAAGTTAGCTAACTTGCCCAGGGGCACAGGCTTTGGAAGTGCAGGAGCAGAGGGCATTGAGGCCATCAGAGTAAAAGCTGTTTCCCAGGTGCCGATTAGGACCTAGCTCCCTCCTGAGGGCCTTGTCCTGCCCTCAGCTGCCCACTGTCCCACCAGGTCCTTGGCTGGACCCCGCTCCTGGGGGCAGGCCCCAGGGACCCGAGAGTGGGAGATGCGCTGCCATCTAGTCCGGGTAAGCAGCAAGTCTGGTTCATTTCAGGCTCGGGCATCCACTGGAGACCAGCCCTTGGGCTCTCAGTGCCATGGGACCTTCAGATCTGGGTCTTCCTTCCTGGGGGGGCCTTTTCTTCTTCCTCCATCATCCTGTCAGGATTGACTCTGGGGAAGGGTTACCTGCCCCAAACATGTAGTGAGCCCCGAGCAACCTGGACACTGCCTAATGCCTCCCTCTGCAGCTGAGTGCCAGCCTCTCTCCGCCCCAGGACTTGGGCCTTCCCTTGGCTCCCTGCATTTGCTACTGCTATGCGTCTGAAGGTAGACGGTAGATCAGCAGGGCTCAGGACCCTGGCATCACAACCCTAAGTCTTCTCTCTCCCAGCCCTTGGCAAGAGGTAGAAAACACCCTGCCTCAGACAGCAAGGCAGGATGTAGGTCTTGGAGAGGGATTGCTGAGGGCTGACCACATGAACACCTTGATCCCATCTTTAGCATTTGACCTGCTCTCTGATCTTTACCCTTCTATCCCTTGCCAGGTAGCCAACCTCCTGAGGCTGTTTCAGATCCCACAGATCAGCTATGCGTCCACCAGTGCCAAGCTGAGTGACAAGTCCCGCTATGACTACTTTGCCCGCACGGTGCCCCCTGACTTCTTCCAAGCCAAGGCCATGGCCGAGATTCTCCGCTTCTTCAACTGGACCTATGTGTCCACAGTAGCATCTGAGGGTGATTACGGGGAGACAGGCATCGAGGCCTTTGAACTGGAGGCCCGTGCTCGTAACATCTGCGTGGCCACCTCGGAGAAGGTGGGCCGTGCCATGAGCCGCGCTGCTTTTGAGGGCGTGGTGCGAGCCCTGCTGCAGAAGCCCAGCGCGCACGTGGCCGTCCTGTTCACCCGGTCCGAGGATGCCCGCGAGCTCCTTGCTGCCACCCAGCGCCTCAACGCCAGCTTCACCTGGGTGGCCAGCGATGGCTGGGGGGCCCTGGAGAGTGTGGTGGCAGGCAGCGAGGGGGCCGCTGAGGGCGCCATCACCATCGAGCTGGCCTCCTATCCTATCAGCGATTTTGCCTCCTACTTCCGGAGCCTGGACCCCTGGAACAACAGCCGGAACCCCTGGTTCCGTGAGTTCTGGGAGCAGAGGTTCCGCTGCAGCTTCCGGCAGTGGGACTGTGCAGCCCACTCGCTGTGGGCTGTGCCTTTTGAGCAGGAGTCCAAGATCATGTTTGTGGTGAATGCAGTGTATGCTATGGCCCATGCACTGCACAACATGCGCCGGGCCCTCTGCCCCAACACCACCAGCCTCTGTGATGCAATGCAGCCTGTCAGTGGGCGCCGCCTCTACAAGGACTTCGTGCTCAATGTCAAGTTCGATGGTAATGGTGCTCGCCTTTGAGGGTTGCAGAGAGCAGGCCTTCAGGGCCCGTGCTTGGCAGGGACAACAGAGTCTGCAGCTGGTGAGGGGCACGTCAGGGGGCTGGCATCAGAGCTAGGGCAAGGGTGGCTAGACAGGGAGGATTCCAGCCGGGCCAGGCCTGACATTCCACTCTCTGAGGCCCTTCCAGAGGGGAGATGTCTGGCTTGGTCCTCTGAGGGGCTCTGGTTCCTGCTTGGACCTGGCCCTGTCTCTCTCTCTTGCCTCTTTATTACCATGCAGCAGGGAGGGCTGGAGGCCCCAAGCTCCTTCATGTCAGGAAGACGTCAGAGTCAGAATGAGGATGCGTTGAGAATGAGTGTCAGGATGATACTCCATATTCTGGGGAAATTTCTATTCCTAATCTTGATTTTTTACTCAAGGTGGTCACAGGCTCTACAACCAAAAGTTATTTTAATAAAATTCCAGCTTTAAGAAAAGTGAATACCTAAGGAAATCACTGGGGCCACAGTGGGGAAGGTGGCCAGGCTGGCAAAGCTTGTAGTGCTGGCTCGGGGGCTAAGATGAATGATTCCAGTAAGGGTGCCATTCTGAGTGTGGGAGTGTGGGGGAGGACTTAGGGTGAACTCTGGCCTGCCTAGTTGGCATTCAAGCAAGGCTAAATTCGGCCCACTGGGCTGGGTATAATCATGGTGGGGCTGAGTTGGATTTTGAGGGCTTAGAGGCAGGACAGAGGCTGGCGGCCATGGGGCCTGCCTGGTACTCCAGGCTGCACTCTCCACTACGGGGCCTTAAGCGTGCCATCTGCCGGCTTGGACCTGGGTTTCTCATGGGGACCCGGATCACAGGGGTCCTGCCTCCTAAGCCTGGCCAGGAAGCGTGAGGTTCATGGTGCATGGGTGGGGTAGGGAGTGGCAGTGGTCTGTGAGCTACCTGCTGAGCACATTTGCGTGAGCATCTGTGGGTACAGGGGACTGCTGAGGTGGGAGCTCAGTTCGTGCTGGGTCAGCATTGAGGCTAGCAGGGGCTAAAGCCATGGTAGCCATTGATAGGAGCAATGAGACCGAGTCTAACACTGGGGGTCTCTGTTAGTTTGGGGAGAGGGCTGTGGTGCATGCTGTGATAAGGTTGGGGTCTGGACTGAAAGGTGCTGGAGACCAGGTCTAAGGCTGGGCTTTGGGAGTGTGGTTGGGGGCCAGGGTGGGCGTTAGGTTTGAGCAGGTGCCTTTAAGGTGGGGTTCCATTTGGGGCTTGGGCTTGGGGTTTGTGGTATCCTCTTCTTCAGAGAAGCAGCTGTGGGTACAGCCAGCTTTCGTGTTGGGGGTGGATGGGTAGTGCGAGGAGTGGCCTCAGCTCTGGAGTTTGGGTACACATCAGGGTGAAGGCCGAGGCCAAGACAGGGGCCGACCCTCCTTTCCCTCCCATACCCCAGCCCCCTTCCGCCCAGCTGACACCCACAACGAGGTCCGCTTTGACCGCTTCGGGGATGGTATTGGTCGCTACAACATCTTCACCTACCTGCGGGCAGGCAGCGGGCGCTACCGCTACCAGAAGGTAGGCTACTGGGCAGAAGGCCTGACACTGGACACCACCCTCATCCCGTGGGCCTCGTCCTCAGCCGGGCCGCTGCCCACCTCTCACTGCAGCGAGCCCTGCCTCCAGAATGAGGTGAAGAGCGTTCAGCCTGGGGAAGTGTGCTGCTGGCTCTGCATCCCCTGCCAGCCCTATGAGTACCGGCGGGACGAGTTCACCTGTGCCGACTGCGGCCTGGGCTACTGGCCCAATGCCAGCCTGACCGGCTGCTTCGAGCTGCCCCAGGAGTACATCCGCTGGGGTGATGCCTGGGCCCTGGGGCCTGTCACCATCGCCTGCTTAGGCGCCCTGGCCACCCTCTTTGTGCTGGGTGTGTTCGTGCGGCACAATGCCACACCAGTGGTCAAGGCCTCTGGCCGGGAGCTCTGCTATATCCTGCTGGGTGGCGTCTTCCTCTGCTACTGCATGACCTTTGTCCTCATCGCCAAGCCGTCCACAGCTGTGTGCACCTTACGGCGTCTTGGTCTGGGCACTGCCTTCTCCGTCTGCTACTCAGCCCTGCTCACCAAGACCAACCGCATAGCACGCATCTTTGGGGGGGCCCGGGAGGGAGCCCAGCGGCCACGTTTCATCAGTCCTGCCTCGCAGGTGGCCATTTGCTTGGCGCTTATCTCGGGCCAGCTGCTCATCGTGGCCGCCTGGCTGGTGGTGGAGGCACCAGGCACAGGCAAGGAGACGGCCCCTGAGCGGCGGGAGGTCGTGACATTGCGCTGCAACCATCGAGATGCAAGCATGCTGGGCTCACTGGCCTACAATGTGCTCCTTATCGCACTCTGCACGCTCTATGCTTTCAAGACCCGTAAGTGCCCCGAGAACTTCAACGAGGCCAAGTTCATTGGCTTCACCATGTACACCACCTGCATCATCTGGCTGGCCTTCCTGCCCATCTTCTATGTCACCTCCAGTGACTACCGGGTGAGCTACCTGCTCCAGAGGTTGGGGGTGGGACACTGGACCTTCTGTGTCCTGGTTTCTCATTTCATCTCCTGATAACTTTGAGGCTCCACCAGGTTCAGTGCTCACCCAGACTAAACACCTTGTGGTGGCCCAGTGAGAACTGGGAGGGTGGGAAGGCTGAGTGGGGCCTGGGAAAATGGCCAGGGAGGTGGGGGAGTTAGAGCTGAGAAGAGATTTTGAGACTCGGGTGTCGTGTCATCCCCTACCCTGGGAGGAAATGGGGGTGCCAAAGTACGTCTGCCTGAACGCAGGCTCTGTCCTGCTGCGCTGAGGGACTGGCTGCAGAAGGGGAGACCTGGTCTCTGCTCTTGGGAGCTCCTGGGCTAGTAGGTGAGGGGCTTGAGTTAAGAATCATCAGGAAATGCAGCTGACTGGTTTAGGTTGACAGAGGGGCCCAGCACAAGTGCAGAAGAGGGACGTGTGTTATGTGCTGGTGGGTGTGTGCGTATGTGTGTGTGTGGAGAGAATCAGGGAGGGCTTCTTGGAGGAGGAACCTTGACCTGGGCGCTGCAGGGCAGGCAGGATTGTCTGGGTAGAACAGTGAAGGTGGGGGAGGGCAGCCAGGATGGAGGCTGATTAGAACAGAGGTTGCTCATTGACTTCCCAAGTTGGGGAGGGGGTCCCAACGGTGAAAAGGTAGGCAGAGGTGAAGGTGGAAAGCCCAAACGGAATACTGTCGTTTTCCATTTGGGCTCCAGAGCCACCACTCTGAAGCCGTGGGAACCTCAAAGTGTGCAGTGGAGCCCCCGGAGCTTTGGGACTGAGATCCGAGGCCTGGGCAGGCGGGAAAGGGGAAGCGGAGGGGAGGAGGCCTGGGTATGGAGCATGGAAGGTGGAGCAGGTGAGAGCCATGCCCTACCCAGTGGCTTCCAAGCAAAGTTCCAATGGACACTGAGGGTCTCGGTGGGCCTCCTGAGCCTCAAGGGGCTGCGGCTGCCTCAGATCGGGTGGTCAGGGAAGGCCCCTCTGAGGCCGTGACAGACGAGCTGTGCTCTGAACGATAAGAGGGTCATCTTGGTGACTCATGACTCTGGAGTAAACTCCGTGGCTCTCCCCATTTTACAGACGAAGAAACGGAAACTCAGGGAGGTTCAATCCTAAGGTCACTCAGCTTGGTTGTGTAGAGCAGGGTCTGAACTGACAATCTTAACAATTAAAGGAGCAGGAAAATCAAGACCAGAGCCCCTGCAAAGGCCCTTTCCCCCAGGACAGAGGTATGGTGGGCAGTGCTGGGGCCTGGGGCGGCTGGGCTTGGCTGCTCCTGCGCCTGGTGGGCCTCCTGCCTGGATGGGGGAGGCCACAGGGCTGGGAGGGATTAACTCTGACACACCTGCACTTGCATATGATCTCCATCTGCATGCCCCTCCCAGGTAGCCCAGGACTCCTGTCCCCGTCCATACACCCAGCACCCACACACACGCACTGGTGCTCCCACACCTGCACATTGGTATGTGCAGGTGCACACATGTGTGTACACGGGCTTCCCCCTGCGCACACATTCATGTCGGTGCCCCACACTGGCATGCCCGTGCACACCCGCACGCATGCACTGCTACACGCGCCCCTGCATGTTCCCCCACAGCAGTCACTTTGGTCTCCCTGGGAAGACAGCCCACTGGCACAGACGCTGGGCCCAGCCCACCATTCCTAGAACTCCTGTGGGGCTCGCCAGCCTGGTGCCAGTTGCCTCCTGTCTCCCACTGCTGGCCCACGTCCCGGGCAGGGGTCCTGGGGCCCGGGCCTTGGGCTTGACTCACCCCTGGCCCCCGGTGCAGGTGCAGACCACTACCATGTGTGTGTCCGTCAGCCTCAGTGGCTCCGTGGTGCTCGGCTGCCTGTTCGCGCCCAAGCTGCACATCATCCTCTTCCAGCCGCAGAAGAACGTGGTGAGCCACCGTGCGCCCACCAGCCGCTTCAGCACTGCCACCAGGGCCAGCTCCAGCCTCGGCCAAGGTCAGCATCCACCCTGGGTGGCCTCCCCACCTGCCCCTCTCACGGCTCAGCTCCTCCATGCAGGGCCACTCCTGAGGTTGCTGCATTCCTGGTGGGGGGGCTGAGTGCCCTGGTGAGGCTGGACAGGAGAGGGCAGGTGGTGGGGGAAGGCAACCTCTGCAGCCCTGCTGCCCACCCTCTGCGGGCGGAGGACCTCCGGCTTCCTTTCCCTAGGGTCTGGCTCCCAGTTTGTCCCTGCCGTTTGCAACGGCCGCGAAGTGGTGGACTCAACAACATCATCGTTCTGAGGACCCCACGCTCCTGTCTGCCCTGGTTGCTCTCTGGAACCGGTGCCGACCTGCATCCAGGGCCACGAGGAAGCTGGCTGGAGCACTGCAATAATGCCAACCCCATGCCCGCCCCAAAGCCGCTTTCCACCCTACTTACTCCCACCCTCAGAGCCAGATGTCCGAGTCCTTGGCCTGGTGCCTGTGCAGTAGCCACCAGCTGCCCTTGCAGCAGCTCCCCTCCTTGCTGGCCAGGACTCGGGACGGGGCAAGCCAGGGTCACTCTGCCCTAGAACAGGGCAGCCAGGACTCCCAGCCCCCAGCCCTAGTCAGCCAAAGTGCTTCCAGCCCTGCCCTCCCTCCTCCTAGGGCCTTTTTAATTTTTTACATAAGTTATTCTGGGATGGGGAGGGGGTTATTGTGGGTGGAGGAGCTGTCCCTCCCCCTGCACAGTAGCTTGTCCTGTAGTTTATTTTGTATTATCTGCAAATAAAGTCTTTATTAAAAAAAAATCACTCTTTGCCCCTGACCCAGGGAAGCCCCTCCTGCCTGCCACAGCCTCCCAGCGTTCAGTTTTCCAGTCCTTGTTGCCACTGCTCTGTGTCCATGATAGAACCTGGAGGCCCCAAGACAGACCGAGCCCTGCCTGGTGGGTGGATAGAAAATGAACAAGCTGCCGGCTCTCGAGAGGAAATGCTGCAGACCGGCGAGGCACTACTGGACTGGGCGGGAGGCTTAAATGGACACAGGGGACCTGGATGGTGGGGTGATAGGGCAGGAGGGATGGCTGGCTGTTCCCCCTGGAAATGTCAGCTCCTCTTCACTGGCTGTCTGGCAGTTGGAGGGGCTGTTAGTCAGCACAGAGCCAGGCTGAGCATTTGGAGTGAAGGAACCAAGAGGAGTCAAAGCTGAAGGTCGCCTGTTCACAGGGTGGGTTCAAAGCCAGAAAGTTCGTGGGGAGGGAGGGATGAAGCGGGAAGGTCAGGGCTGGGCGGTCAGAGAGCCCATCTAATGTAGGCCGATGAGTGGGAGAAAGGGCCTTCCTCCAGTCCCTGGAGCCCGCCACCCTTGGGCGCCCGCCTCCCCCCTGGGGCGTCCCCCGCGGTTGGGGTTGGGGTGACCAGCAGAGGGCGCAGAGGCACAGTCCTGGCCGCGCAGCCTCTGAGGCCTGTGGGCAGTGGGCGCCGAACCCAAACAGGAACAGAAGAACCCGGCAGCTGCTGGGGGGCCCCAGCCAGGATTGCAGATCACAGGCCCTGCTTTGGGGCACTTGTGATTTTTAAGTCGACTCATTGGCATCGACAGGCTGGCAAGGCTGTGGAAACCTGGGCTATCAGTTTTTAAAAAAATGAAAACTGAAAACTTGGAATGGCTTTTCCCATCCAGCCAGTATTTGGAGTGTATGGAGGCCAAGTAAAATACAGGATGCCTGGTTAAATTTGAATATGAGACGAACAGGAATCATTTTTTAGTATAAGTATGGTCCATGTAATATTTGGGATGTACTTAACATTAAACATTTTTATTTATCTGACATTCAAATTTAGCTGGGCTTCCTGTATTTTCAAACCACAAATTTTAGCAACCCTGTTGGGGTGTCTGTGATCAGTTCCTGGTCCCGAATGACCCAGGCCTGGGTGCAGCCCCCAGCAGCTGGGCATCAGGGTGCTGCACTGCATGGGACCTGCAGTGCCAGCCCTGTTCCTGGTATGGACTTTTCTGGGTCTACCTGCGCACAGTGGACCCAGGGAGCTTGTGCCTACCCTCCTGCCCCTAAGACAGGCCAAGACTGGGCTCTGATCTCCTTGTACCAAGAAAACAGCCCTCCTCATGGCTGTGGTTATTTTCCTTAAAATGTGATAATTGTAACCATAGTAGTTTACAGCTAAAATGGTGCAAGGGGTATTCAGTGATAGATCTCCTTCTGTCCCTCCCACCCACCTGGGAGAAAGGACCCAGAGGCCTGGGGGGGCCAGGGAGGAGGCTAGGGGGTGGGTGAGGACTCCAGGGCCGGTCGTCCCTTCAGTGTTGTGGAGCCCGGCTCCTCAGTGCCCACCCTCCTGCCATGGGGCTAGGCCCCTCCACTGCCTGTCCCTCTAAGTGGCCTGGGTTTATGTCTCTGTCCTCTCCATCCATGGCCCACCTCTCTTCCTGGGAAGGGGCTGGGGACTCAGGGGCTCCTGCTGGGCTCACTCCACTTACGTGACCTGGAGTCCTGAAAAGAGAGCCCTGTTCTTTCTGGAGACTGACAGCAGAGACACCAAGCATTTGGGGTTCTCTCCCACCCTAGGGAGCCACCCGTCAGGGTGACTGACTGTCCTTCAGCACAATCACCAGGTGCTGTGCTTGGGGAGCCAGAGTTTCCCCAGGCTTGGTTGCTTCTCCCTCAGGCTTTGTTCCAGCCCCTCTGTGGCCGACCTCAGTCCCCGCACCTGTGCCTGCACGACCCGGGCTTGGGCGTAGGTGGTGCAGGCCACTCCTGCTCCTTGGTGCTTGCATGGGCAGAGGCAGACCCTATTGATAGAACACTGTAGTCCAGGAAAGGAAATGACAAATTCTACCCCCCAGGGCCCACAGGGCATTAAGCAGTAAAGGTGGGGTTGTCTGTCAGGTGGAGAAGGGGCTTAGGTCTGGGGAAGGAGGAAGGTAAGGGGGTGGGGGAGGAGACTGGGGGGGGTGGGGAACAGCGGGTAGTGACAGGGGAGTGGTCAACCCTCCAGCGCTCTCACCAAGGTGTCATGTTGTGTGTGTGTGTGTGTTTAAAGAAAAATTACTCTTTTCGGGGACACAATATACACTCCCTATAAACGGTTTAAGCATTGCAGAAAAATACACAGAGAAAATTAAAGTCTTACCTCAAGTTCCATCACTCAAATATAGCCATCATTAGCATTCTGGTACAGCATCCTAGACACTTCTCCGGATAGAAGGAGAAATACTTTCATAAAAATGGGATCATGCCATATGTCTTCTTTTTTTTTAGTGAAGATTTAATTTTACATGATTCTAATTGAAGAAATGTATCTGAAGTGAAACAGAAGGATTTCTTGAACTTCACATACATTGCTTCACCACAAATGACAGTTTTCTCCCACTCCCTGAAAGATCCCTGTAAGTTTGAGAGACAGTGACATTTAGAGGTAAATATTCCTGTGGTCGCAGAGATCCGAGGAGAGTTTGACCCTTGGTCAGCCTTCCTGCCCCTGTGTTGGCACCTGTGCTGGTCCTGGGGGTGTTGACAGCCCTGTCACTGCGGGGGCCCACTCAGCAGGGGCATCAGGCAGGTGCCCGCAGGCACCCAGCTGCTCAGCCCTTCCGCCTGGCGCCCAGGAGCTGGTCGGGGTCTTGGGCTCCTGGGCCTTTCTGGATCCCTCCTCCGAGCAAAATGAAGTTGGCTCTGGGACAGCCCCTCTTTTCTTGTGAGTTTGATTCACAAAATCTGCAACACTCAGGTGGCCTTGCAGCGCCTTGTGGGTGTTTTTTTTCATTAACCACATTTTCACTGCAGACCATGTTGATCGATTCCTTGTCAAGAAATCGAGAACATCAGCACATTAGTAGTTTCACCCAGACGAGTCTTCCCACGTTTGAATTCACTTGTTATTTGCTTGGTTATGTCATAGTCATTCTATAGCCAATGTATTCCAGTCACTGCCAGGTCTCTCCTTCAGCTCCTTCATCCGTGAGTTCTCACTTGCGATGTACTTTTAATTGTTGGGATTTTAGTAAGTGGTTTTTATTTCATGAAAGGCTCATGGTCCCCATATTCTGAGTTCTTTCATATTTGACAAGGCCCTTTCCCTGCTTTCCATGTAGATTATTATAAAGATCAGGTTTTATGAGTTCATGTTACCAAATGTTAATGAGTCATCTTAATAAAAAGATTTCCCTTGCCACCAACTGCTACTTCCCCTTTGCATTATGAAAACATTACTAATACATAACAAAGTAGAATACTTCCATGAACCCATATGCTACCTTTTAGACTTGTCCAACCATTGGCCAACATTTTTTCATATACACTCCAATTCTTTTCTTCCCACCCCCTCAATGTCAGTCTGGGGGTATCTTATCCTTTTACTAACATATTAACATTTATTAAGCATTTCCTGTGTTCCAGACACTGTTATTGAACGTATGTGTATGTTGCTGTACACCATGTACATAGATTATTTCATCCAAAAACCATATTTGGTACATTCTTTTAATATACCCATCAGATGGATGTGAATTTTTTTTACTAAAAAATGCATATAATTCATACAGGTATATATCAATGAATTTTTTCACAAGGTGAACACACCTTTTAATCATCACTCAAATTGTTTTCCTCTTGACTTTTTACTTGAATGAAAGATTGGCTGGTTTTAGTATTTTTGGTGTCCACACTCTTTAAAAAAATTTTTTTTATATTTTATTATTTAAAAATTTTCAAGTTTTTTGATTTCTAAAAAAATTGTGAAGATAGTAGAGTTCCCACTACCTGACATCCAGATTCCTCTATGATTAACATTTCACATTAGCAAATTAGTAACAAATAGTTTATTTGTTACAATCAATGGATAAAAGTGGACTCATTATTATTAACTACAAATCAACAGTTTGTTCAGCTTTCTTGGTTTTAGCCGGCTCCTCCAGCCTGTGAGAAGAGAGGCTCCGCCCGCTGTTTCAAGGTTTGCAGGCTCAGGAAACAGATGGGGTTGGGCCCGGCTGGTGGGACGGTGGCTGAGCAGCCTGTCAAGGCCTCTCTAAACATTTGCGGTGTGGCTGGCAGGGCAGAGATTGGCGGCCCCAGGTGCCAGCTGAGTCCCCTTGTTACCTGCCGCCTGCCCCGCCCCCCCCATGCCCTCTGCCTCACTCTTCCATCTCCTTGCCCTCAAAGAACGGGGCCAATTTGCAAACCAATGGGCTCCTCTTTTATTAATCTAAAGATGTTTTTAGTATATCTTTTTTCCAGCACTAATGAGGTATAATGGACTTGCCTCCCTGTGCATGTTTCAGGTGTGTAACAGCATGCTGGGTTGGTGCACACATATGTAGAGCATGATGTTGCAGTCAGTTTCGCTAGCATCCATCACCTCACATAAATTCAATTAAAAAAAAAATTTTAAAAAGGGAAACCCTTTTTCTGATGAGAGGTCTTAGGATTACCTTCTGGGCCGCTTTCCTGTTTATCCTGCAGCAGCGCTGGCTGCCACCCTGCTGCACATGACAGCCCTGGGGCTTACCTTAGGGCTGCAGGTCTGGGCCCTCGGACCCGCTTCCGCATGGCCTGCTCTCTTTCCTGCAGAACTTGGCAGTATTTCTCTCCTGCCCGGTAGCCTTGAATGTTGCTGTAAAGAACTGTATCTGTTTCAAGCAAACACTGAGCAGGATTCTCCATACTATAAAATGTATAGATTTTAAAGGGTCGGTTCTGTGAATTTTGACCAATGTGTACACCAGGTAAATCCCGCCCAAATGTAAACATAGAACTTCGCCATTTCTCCTGAAAGTTCCCTCAGGCCCCTTTCCAGTACCTACCGCCCCCTCTCAGGGACAACCACTG